CTATATATATATATATAGTTATATATATATAGATATGTATATATATAAATCTATACAACGCGGTTCGAGACTGGTTACATCGAGGACGCCCCACCCCCACCCCGTTTATCGGCCTCTCGCCCTGCCCTGCCCGCGGCAGCCACTGTCCGGCATTCAGGAGGGAGGAGGAAGAGGACAGTCAGCGGCCTCCGGAGTCCCTGCTCGGCGAGGCTCGAGGGGGCGATGCGCAGCGCGGCCGCATGCAAAGCGCCTGAGGCGAGCCCGGCCCCGGGCGCCGTGCCGGCCAAATGATCCCCGGCCTGGGTTCCGACGTTGGGCTCTGAGGCGGCTAGAAAGTGTGCGCGTTTCTGCAGACGCCGCAGCCCAGCGCGAACTCCTCGCCCGTGGGAGGGTGGACGACGTGGAGCGGACACTCGGCCCCTTCCAGCTGCTTGCTCTTGGGACCTGCAAGAGAAGGCAAGGCCGGCCGTCAAACTCCGGGGTCCCATCTGGGTTCTGCCCCGTCTCCATGTGGGGGCACCGCAGGGCATCCTTCCCTCTGGCCCAAGCCAGCTGCTCCCCGAAAAATCCCTTTTTGACAAGCCCGGAGGTAAAGAGTGAAGAGAAATAATCCATGCGAGGGTTCCCTGGACCTAAGGATTATTTTCTTTCTCTAAAGTTAATTATTATTTAGGTTTATTATGTATAACATGTTTTTATATTTATTTTTATGTATTTATATATTCAAATTTGTATAATTTATAATACAATAATGTAATTATTAATAATTATAAAGGTAAAGGTCCCCCTCGCACATATGTTCTACTTGTTCCTGACTCTAGGGGGTGGTGCTCATCCCCATTTCAAAGCCGAAGAGCGAGCGCTGTCCGAAGACGTCTCCGTGGTCATGTGGCTGGCATGATGAAACGCGGAAGGGCCCAGAACGCTCTTACCTTACCACCAAAGGTGGTTCCTATTTATCTACTTACATTTTTACATGCTTTCGAACTGCTAGGTTGGCAGAACCTGGGACAAGTAATGGGAGCTCACTCCGTTAAGCGGCGCTAGGGATTTGAACTGCTGACCTTCTGATCGACAAGCTCAGCATCTTAGCCACTGAGCCACCACGTCCCTGAGATTAATAATTCTAAATGACAGCTATTGTTTATTATGATTATAAGCCGCCCAAAGTTACACTGGTAAGAGGGATAGCCAATACATTTTATTAGTATTTAGTATTTATTAGTATTTATTAGGATTTATAGGCCGCCCTTTTCCCTGAGGGGACTCAGGGCGGCTTATAATCATTAGGGAGGGGGTGCAGTTCAAAAATAGACAATATTTAGACAACAAAGTAAAATAATAAAAACACAACTTGCATTCAACACTCGACACTCGGGTGGGGCCAATGAGAAGCTTATCCCCAGGCC